TCCCGGGTACGTCTTAGGTTCCCGGGTATCTCTGCTGGCTTCTTAAGGGTTAACCCTTCCAGACCCCCGGGAACCCCCTAGTGACGTCAAGGGCGGGGTCTGAGTCCTCGGGCGGGGATGCCCAGGAGATAATGAGGGGGGGTCCTCTGGACCCCGCCCCCTAGGGAAAACCACCCTATTCTGGCTCTTATTTCTCCCCCAAGAAATCTCCCAGCCTTCTTCCTCTATTGGAAGGAAAGATCCATCCCATTAAGACCCCAGTTCTTCAGTCCCCTAAAACCCTCAGTCTCTACGGGGTCCCTTTTCCCTAATCTTGTCCCTAAAGCTAGCTGCCCAGGGCTAATTGTTTCGGGGTCATGGGGCCTGAAAGAGGCTTCAGAGCGGGGAGTAAGGGCAGGCAGGGTGGTCTGAGCCAGAGGAGGGGCCTTGGTCCCCAGCTCCTGTTTGGAGGGCGACCAGCAGCGATACACAGGCTGGCAGTGGCCAGTAGTTCCGCCCAGCCCCAGTAGGGTCTCCCAGCGGGTGGCTCTAGCTGTCCTGGTGGTCCCGAGGTCAGAGGGTCAAGACAAGGTCTCCCCATCTCCCCTCCCAGAGCAGTGCCCACAGCCCGTGGGGCTCAGGAGTCCAAAATTGCTTGGGATTTGTCTAAGGCCTAGACTACACCTTGGACATTCCCTCCCTAGTCCCGAATGCATTCCTTTCCCCCAAAACTCAAGCATCCGCGGGCACAGCTGTCACTAGACAGGTCAAGGGTCCAAGGCCAGTGGTTTTGTTGCCTCTCACACACACACCCTATCCCCACTCCACCTAGAGCTCCCTCCTTTGCTGTCAGTCCCCTCCTCTTAGAAACACTGACGTCTTCCAGCCCGGCGCTCAGAGACACACCTGGAGTTCCCTCTCTACCACGCAGACCTCCAACTTGCCGTCCCAACAGTCTCTTCATCCCAACCTCAAGAAAGGAAGATGTTTCTAATATTGTGTGAGAGACAGAGATAGACAAAGAGATCCACGGTTGCCTGAGACAGACACACAGACAGTCAGGGGAAAAAGAGCAGATAGAAAAGGAGACACAAATGAAAAATTTCTCCAAACTTTCTAATATCCTTTCCCAGTCTCTCCCACCCCATTTTGTCTCTCTGCCCCAGGTCTCCCTCACGGCTGGGAAGAGTCCTTCGGCAGCAGAGCATCCCCTTTGGATCCCCTCCCCCACCGCTCCCAGGTGGTCCCCCGCCTGCCCCCCTTCTCACCTCCG